TCGTCTCCATCTCTCTCGCTCGCTCTAGCTACGAGCACTTCCGTCTTTGCCCGCCTGCCCATTTGCGCCTTTATTTGCGCGTTACTACTTTACAGGGCCCCGTGAAGGGTCTGAGTCGTCCGTGGCAAACAATACGCGCGTTACTCTTGCCCGCGACAGTGTGAATTATTAACAAGAGAAAGCGGCACAGGATGCCGACGGTTTTATTGACTGGGTCTCTTCGTCCTCGGGGAGAACGAGCAAAAAAACTTGGCGACAACAAGAACGCGCTTCGTTACGACCTTCGCTGTCCGAGCTCATCGTCCCTTTATTAGCGGCTGTTTTGCAAATCATACTTCTTGCTCATTTTACAGAGGATTTAACTTCGGCTTCTTGATTACTCAACCGACATCATGTACAACACTTGCTTTTAAAATTATGACTTGTGTTATTATCCCTAATAAGTGCGACTCTAAAGGTTTGTCTTGCATGTATTTGCATGCGTATTGTTTAATGCGACTGCTGTTTCCTTAAAAAAAAAAACTTTTAACTTTTTAAAAATTTAAATTTTAAAAATTTAAAAAAACAAAAAAAAAAAATTTAACTCTTAACAATTTATGAAGTTGGTATATAAGTCGTATCCCTATTAAACAATATACTCATGAAAAATGTGCAATTGTCATATTTTTGAGTATTTTTCGTAAAACATTGTACAATTTGTTGTTTTACTACGAACGAGTATCGAATTTATTTGTTTCGGATAAAGAGAGACGCGCTCTAATTGGTCTTAGTATTATTTAACAATCACTTTTTCATTCTTCGTCTTTCATTTTATCTATTTTACGTACTCCTCGACTGTTCATAATACCAATAATTGATACATATACTGGAGTATGTAGTATGTAATGGAATTAAGTAAATGACTATGAGTAATTGTGAGTTGTGCAAAAGAAGCATTCGGCCAGCGAAATGTTAAACGATAGTGAACACTGATAAGGGCATAAGATGAAAAAAATCATTCCATTGTCTTAGAAAAAAAATTAATAAGTCCAGATAAGACGATAATAATTACTCCTTATGCCGCATAAATTAAATTAAGATTTAATATATAATTATGGAATAATAAACATACACGGTGTTTCCTCATTTATCCGAATAATCCATTTTGTCGTATTAAAAATTTCAAGTTAAATAATTATACAATTAATAAATTACGATGATACGAGCGACTTATCTCAATTATGCAACAATAACCATGAAAGCCTTTAAATGACATCAAGCATTAATGGATCAAATTCTCCTTAACTTGATTAGAATATCATGAATCATGTTAGTGATACAGTCTATTAAACAGGGACGCGCCGTAGCAAGCGATAATTTGATTATCAGCCGTAGATTCGGCAGCAGTCAACCACCGACTTTCTTTCTTCTCCCGTAATTTTTTTATAGCAATTTTTTCGGTGCGTGGAAACGTATCTCGCGAGGCAAAAAAAAAAAAAAAAAAAAAAAATGAAAAAAATTCGTCGCAGTGACGGGTCGACCCTCGCATCGCCGTCAATCGGCGCCGGCTTTGTTTTCGAGTGTTTTCTCTCCCTCCCTCCCATCCTCCTTCCCGCTCGAGTATTTCGAGCACACGGCTAGACGGGGTACGCGCGAATTATTCAAAACCTACGGCTGGCAAAAGTGCAGCCGTTCCGCAGCCCGGAATAATCCCACGTGCCGGCGTGACGCGATCTGCATAAGCGACAGCGGCAGAAAACGATCGCAACAAAACATTCGGCTCCGAGGAGGCGTTAAAAAAATTGCGGAAAAAAAGTACCCGGAAACGTGAGGAGGACGGTGGCTGGGTCAGGCGGGCGCGGGAGCGTCGGCAGGTCGAGCCGGTCGGCTTTATTCGGCGTCGCTTGACAGATGATCGAAGAACAAAACGAGCACGATTTCTCGGCCTCCTGGGCGGAGCTGCGATTTTAAAGAGCCGTCCTGGTTATTATTACCATATTCCATGGCGAATGAATGAGTGGTCACAACGACGGAGTTCTTTGGAATTAGCGTGGCTGTGATTTTATATTTGCACGAGCGATCATGACAATTTGCATTCGCTGCGTCCTAGTGATTTTTTACTTCAAAACTTCCGTCGGCCGTTGGTCCATTGACTATCGCACGAGCCACCAATCGATAAAGTCCCAAGGTCAATATTAACGGGTAAACGCCTAAGTCTCCTCTCGCACTTTGTAAATGCTACAAACGTTTAAAGTGTCGTGAGGCCAATTTATTGCACCGGCATCGCCTAGCGTACAAGTCCGTATAATATTAAAGAAAAGAAAAAAAAATCCATGAAGGTCTCGATAGTTGCCTCGGTAGCTTCGCGCCCAGACACACACACACACACACACACACACACACACTCGCACGCACACACACACACAAACAAACAAACAAACAAACAAACAAACAAACAAACAAACAAAAGGGCAGTACAATTAAAATTGTCGATATGGTAAAAGAGCGTATTGGCGCTTTGGCCAGCCGCTCCGTCGAAACTGTTCTCACTCGGGCCCGATAATAACGTTAGCCATTGGCCAAAGCGCAAATAGTCGCTTAAAGTAATTTATCCCGTTAGTTGGAAATAGTTGGCGACTCCTCTGGGACGGCAAGTGGGCTTTCCCATCGGAGGCAAAGACCAAGCGACGGCGGGGTGACGTGGAGCGTCACCGGTTCCGGCTGCATAAGACGTGCGCGTCGTGACTTCGTCGGGTCTTCCACGCGCGGATCTCACCGTGGTAAGAGTAAGCTTTAATCTTCCAGGGGAGGCCGAACGTCGGCAATTTGCATAAGATCCGTGCCGAGCTGGCCCCTGAATTAATGCCAGAGGGCGCAGGGGAGTCGCTCCCGCCGCCCGGACCGGCCCTTCAGCCGCCGCGACGTTTTTTTCGCAGTCCCTTGTGTAGGTAATGCGGGCTCGACGGCCTATTTGCATAGAGCACTGGCCCAACGGTCCCCCCATTCCCACACAGGCATCTCAGGCGGCGACATTGTTAGCTTGTATCGTACGCCAGCCCATTCTCCTGCTATTCGCCTCTCTTGTGCGTACGCGTCATGTAATTTAGTTCTTTATTTATTTTATGGAAAGCTACTGTTGTGAAATCGTGGAGCTGACGAGGTGCGAAGGACGGAGAGATTGTATAGGCTTCGACGATAACAATATTGAGAACGAAGGGATTATTTATGAACGGAGGCGCGGTCAATATTGTCTGCGTAAAAATATTCGCTGGGAATGATGAAATGGATTAAACTCGAGTGGGAACGGGATGACTTTTTGACGAATTTCAGCGTGACAGATTGATTATTAAACAAATAAAAAATATATATAACATTTAGCATTACGGTCGATTAGATGAATAATTTAATAATTTAATAAATGCAAGGAGAGCATTTGGGGAGGGGGGGAGGGGAGGGACCCTTACGGGTATTTTAATGGACGAGTATTTTCAATTCATCTTAAACGAAACGATGGATTTGCTGTTCCGCGTGAGGCTTTGACAAGTAGCAAGTACGCGAAAAGAATTTTCTAATTTATCGTACCACAAGCGATCAAGTAATTATTAAATCTTCTAAAATTACAAACACGCCTGCACCCACATAATGATTTACTATATATTTATATGTTTGCCACACACGACGACATATTCGTTATGAAAAAAAAAAAAAAAAAAAAAAAATCATGAAAATTTAAAATTTTCTTAGATTAACGAATATCATCGTATCTTCATCGAAATCTTTCACTGACGTTTAACTAATTCCACAAAAGCTCATTAGTCATAATACAGAGACAAATTAGACATAATAAATTAAATAAATAAATCCACAGATTTTCTATTATTCTATCTATACGTGTTTTATCTATGATTCTATAAATGAAAACATTGCAAAAGTTTTTACTGAAAATGTATCTGAAAATAATATTTATAATTACATCGCATGTTCGGTGTTTTATATTTTTACATTAGTATGAAGATGATAGGTTCGAGTTACTTTTTATGCTTTCAAGCTTAACAAGATGAATAATATGAGACTTATGACAATTATTTATACTTTCTTGTACTAAACTAATTTCTAATAAATAAACGATAAGCGAAATATTTATTGTGGTTAAAAAATCATGAGCTCAGAATTTATTAGAGAAGATTTGCCACTAGATTTACCTAAATTTAACTGAAAATATACCGTTGTATTTGCAATGTTTGTACAGTAAATTAACGCACTTGACGATTAATATAATTATATTTCTCTAGGTAGTCAAAGATAAATTTCCCCAATAACATTAATATCATTAATTTAATATTTATTTACCTAATTATCTAGATTATTGATTAAATATTGCAGTAATCGGATATTTGTGAACAAGTAGTGTTTATGGATATTTTTTTTTTTTATTAAAAAAAAAAAAGTCACATTTAATTGAAAATGGAGAGATTTTTATTTATTACTTATAATATCAGCATTAAAAATTACAGGTTACAAATTATTGAATATTATAAAAACAAAAAATATAAATTATTAATTACTTTACTAAAATAAATACGAAAGGTTATTCGTTTGTATTTATTCTCAAATGATGAATCTTATGCAACTATTTCGCTACAATTATTCGGTACAAATTTATCTTCAAATATGTTTTGCAACATCGAGTATCAAATCTATTTTTAAATTGATACAGACAATAAAGGAAGTAATGACTATTTCCAATTTGAATATCGACATAATTTAAACTGCATCCACTACCAAAGGGAAAGGCAAACTTATTCTTGAGCTCGATAAAATCTGAAAAATCTTCTGCTGCTTATATCTAAATGAAATCCTTAATAATAATAAATAAGATAAATTAAGCAAAATTCATGTTAATGAGTAATATTAAAAAACAAAAAAAAAAACAAAAAACAAAAAAAAAACAAGAAAAAAAAAAACAAAAAAAAAACAAAAAAAAAACCAAAAAAAAAAAAACAAACAAACAAAAACACGATCTTTCTCCAATACTTTCTAATTTAAAAATCGGAGAATATTATTGGAATGCTGCAGTAAATATTCACTGCAAGTCTTCTTCTTTCTCAAGATAAGCCAAACGCACATTAATCTTCGGTCCGATTCTCTGTCGTAATTCATCCAAAACGCCAACTTGTATTTGTTCTACATCTTCCGCAGGACAATATTCATCATCGCAGGATCTATGAAATAAACACAAAACGGAGAAATTAAAATGGATAGGAAATATAACCAATTACTAGGCAGTACGCAACAATCAATTATGCTTTGCGTGATTCCTCCCGCTGTCTAATAGTCTATTATACAATTATTGCTGGTAGTAAATTTCTTTCGACTAATTGTTTCTACATTAAAGAAAACAAAAAGAAAACAAAAAAAAAAAAAAAAAAGCAAAAACAAAAACAAAAAAAACCAAAAAGGAAAAAAAAAAGAAGAAGAGGAAGAAGAGAGAAACAATCGCTTCTCCTCATTTGCCGTGTACTCGCGACGACGACATTCGACGCGCAGCAATGCTTCGTTTCATCCCGGAAGTGGGAGTAAGAGGCAGGGGGAGGGGGGAGGGGGTTCGGCACGCTAGTGGTCGTAACCCCGGATGAAAAGTAAAAAGACGTAGAGGGGAGAATAGGGCGCGTAAGAGGCGATTGGAGGGGATGCAGCTTACAGGGGCTAGGGGGTGGGAGGAAAAAGAAGCTGAAGTGGGAGGAGGAGCAGGAGGTAGTGACGAAGGTGGTCGGTGGAGGAGAAGGTGAGGGGGAGAAGGTGTGGGGGATGGTTTTGGTGGTACGAGAGAGGAGTGGGGTGAAAGAGATATTAAAAGACGGGGAATAGTTTGCGTTATGTGAGCAAAGTGGGGTGAATCGATCTTTTTTCTTCCACGTCCCAACCCCTCCCCCACCACGCACGTCGCGATTTCACCGCTATGTACAGGACATAATAACCGAGTGTCACACACCGAGGCTTCGACGGTCTTGACGGTAGGTGGCGCCACGCTGCTTATTCGACAAAGATACTTAGCCACTCTAATTCCTTCTCGTATTACGAAACAATATTGTTTACCCACTTAACAATTCAACATCGTTGAAGTTGCAACACTGTTCGCATTTTGGATAATAATGCAACTAATGCTTAAATCACAATGATACAGTAAAGTACGAGAATTTTACAAATAAATACTGTTCAAATATTAGGAAAAATTGTTTAGCATCGAAATACTTTCGTATCCCGAATGTCAAATATATTTTCTTATTATTCTATATTGAAATGTTAATTGTTGAGATTTTTCATACGCGTACAAAAAGATATGATTTCCGAATGCAATAGTACATTATATCTATTAATTATCATTCGCGAATATTCACGCGGGAACGCGTACACACACACGCGCGCGCGCTCATACATCATACAGAGAGGATTAATCAGGTTTTTACTCAACTTAAAGTTCTGATAATAGAAGCAAATGTAAAATTAATATTAATATTCTTCATCCTTTTAAAATGTTCCCTTCAATAAAGAAATATTTCATAGGACTTGATAATGCATAATTTTTTCATTCGTCATTCGTTAATGATTATTCATGAAGTAACCGTTACGATAATTTTATCTGCTAATAATTACATTTTTCATATTTTGCAATTAATTCACTGTATACAATTATGGACAAAATGTCAAATATATATTTTCAAATATTTTATCTTCATGTATAAAATCATGTTACTTCCATTAATCGTTTGCTGTATCAGTATTACAATTCTTTAAAATAAACGTTTTACAAGCACTTTAATTTGATGACAATGTATATTATATATAAAATTTCCAAAATATATATGTATATCCTTGAGCAACGATCATCTACATAAATTTATAGTATTATTAAAGTATTGTTGAGAGTGTAGTTAATGCCATGTATTTCTTTGAAATTACAGCTGTAGGATGATTTTATACACGATTGCGTAAAAAAATTACGGTAAAACAATTGTATAATAAATATTGAATGTGTCAGGATAATGTCGTGTTATTCGATTGGTAGCGACATCTTACGGCAAAACGTGGAATCATCGATTAAAATTTTGCTCACCCCTGGTGTAATATTTGCCCCTCATTTTGGTTTAGAAGGTGGGACTTCTCAGTGTCCCAACTGACGCCCTTTTTTATAAAACCAACGCCCATTTCGGCCCACCCTAGGGTAGGGCCCCCACCTCTTTTTTTCTCCTTTAACCGTACTAATTCTCTTGTGCCATCTACAGCTTCGAGAGGAACACTTGAAAAACAGCTCGCATTAATATTATAACTGATTCATACAGATGGCAATATAGAAACATTAACATTTAATAATTTATTCGATTCTATATATACATCAATTTAATATATCAAAATTATTTTCCAACATTCAATTTATTTTATTTTATTTTATTTTATTTTTTTTTATATTGATTTACTAATTGACTTTTTGTTGCAATAAAAAATCGTCCCACTATATTCATATTTATTATAAACATAATTTAAAACTATCTCGTGAATAAATTGTCTAACTGCAATCAGGATATATGAAGAAGAATTTGTAAATAATTTCCACACCCACCCTCCTCCCACATTTTCGCCAATCAACGTAATATAATATTACCAAATTTTTCATTTAAACTTAAATCTTTTTACGTGTAGAATATTTTTAAGCGCGCTGTATTTTATTTTCAATATTATTGGTAATACAAATACATTTAGTATTAAAATCCTCTTGTAATTATAAGCGTCTATATAAGGGGTAAAAATAATTATCAATATGTAACAGATTTTTTTTACAAAAATTTCCATCGACAATATTGTTAAGTTATGAAATCGATGCATTCATTTAAAATATCAAAAATATAAGTTTTAACTTTAATTTACTCGTTTTATGAAATTATAAATAGAATTTAGGCATACATTTCGTATAAAAATATGTGCTGAAATTAGTGATCGTGTATTAAAATCGGAATTAATATTAACTAAAAATTATTATACAGGATATCAATATAAATATTGATATAATATATAAGTATGGTGTCCTTTCGCATAAAACATTTCTCACTGCAAGGAAATTAAAATCATAATGAGCTAACATTTATCTATATCAATTTTATCTTATAAGGGACTGTTTTGTTTGTTTTTTTTTTTTCATTAATGCTACTTGCTCCACAAAGTCCTTAATTATTGTTTTATTCTAAATTGCATATATTATAAAATATCACCAATTGGACAATGGTTACGGGACTTTGTTAAATTGACTTTAAATTTTCTTCTCAAGAGGAGGAAGGTATTTGACCTTCGAGCCAAGATAGAACAATCAAGATATTTGAAATAATTTATCCGCCCAAGTGGCGCGACCTTGAATCTTTGTCATACCTAGCGACAGTGACGATCGTGGGGATGGCTGGCAGAGCATTGAGGAAGGACTTGAAGGTTCCTTCGATCAGACGATCGAGATCGGCTTTATTGGTCAAGTGATGTGGGAGCTCGGTGTCGTCGATCGTACATCCCGCATCGTGAATCTGCATCCAATCGATCTCGAAATCCTTATAGACTCTGCGTATCTCATTGTAGATCTGGAGTACGGCGTCGTATCTGCAAGCATATGGTATCGTGAGAAGAAGCGCGGGAGGGTAAAGGACTCATTGGGCGCGAATTTAGGGATAACGTGAAGTGGGCGTGATAGTCGTAATTAAACGAGCCTCGTCGACGACGCAGATAAAGTAGGAAGATTGAAAGGACTCGTCGGGAGTTGCGGCGATGTTTAATTGGGTGTTAGGAATTGGAAGGGTGGCAATCGTAAGCCACAGCTGAGCCACAAAGATGCCGAGTCGAAGAGCAGTCACGTACGCACGGGGCCGTTTGAAATACCAATGACCAGTTGGGATAAACTGGACGTGCCTGCGGATTAATTGTGGTAACGCTCGGTTCTCGGCCCTGTGTACACACAAACCTACACCATCGTGTCTCCGCAGTCGCATCATAATATGCGAGCGAATACATCGAGGTGGCGGATTACCCGTTCATTGTATGCTGTCGGGAATAACCACATTAATCATTTTTGCCTAACAAAGAATTTTAATTCGGCTTTTGAATTTAATGGGCAGTTGAACCGACGGCGCAGCTATTCCCGCGTAGCTGTATATTGTCATTTGCTATGAAATTTTTTTTAATCATTGATTCCCGAATGTTGGCAATAATTGGTAGCATTTGCTTTACCACTCCATAAAACTTTGATGTGCATATTTACTTTATATAAGTAAAATTTACTATTACTTATAGTCATTTAGACGCTTAGACGGTTTTTTTTTTTTTTTTTTTTTTTTTTTTTTTTTTTATATACAATATATAAACTCGTACTGTATTCTTTGTCATGTTTCTTCTAATGTTGTGATGCACCGATGATACATCATTATCCGAATGATTTTTTAGATGGTCCAATGGATTTGTAATTTTCAAGTTGCTTACATTTCAATAAAAAATTTCTCTTTCAGATAAAATTAATTGCTCTAATATTTCAAAAACTGTTGATCCTATTTTTCTTTAGGCATGCTATTCCAAATGAATTTAACGAGCAATACACCATTTGTCTCTATTATTAAATAATTTAGGAATTATATTTCTAATTACCGTGTATTCAAATAATTAATTAGTGCGCGCGGGGGCGTATTTTACGAAACAGTACAAAAATAAACATTGATACAATGAATGAATGAGCTCATATTTCACTAATGTCCCTCGATATTACGTACTCCAATTATATTAGCTGAATTGCATAGTTAAATAATGTTGTTAATTTATTGTGAATTTCAATAATTCAATAAAAAATATTTTGTTCTCTTAAACCTTAAGACTAAGGTATATAATTTGTAAGTACGAACCAGCTATTGTTTGCAAGATATCGGCATCGATAGCAAGATAACGACGTGCTTTTCCCAGAGTTGTTATCTTTAAAATCTTTAAAATAAGAGTATTATTAGCAGCATTAAATTTGTCGTGCCAGAATTGTATTGCTGTTTTGTTGAAAAAGTGGTACAACTTTAGTAAAGAATCCCTACTCTCTGTCATAACTTTTCACATTGTCCCCTTTGTAAATTCATACATCCCAAAGATAATATAATTCTATAGACGCATAATGACAATCGCGCGATAATAAAAAATACTTTATATTTTCGAGGTACAAAAAGTTTCTCGTTATACTAGTTGCCGTCCATTATACAAAACCCACGTAGTTTATAAAGCATAGTTCCTTTAAAGCGAAATTCCTCTTTGTTCCTCGAAACCTGCTTCGTACTTCCGCCGACGTAGAAAAAAAAAACGTCCAAGGTGATTCGAACTTAATGACGAACGTATGATTTTGCTCGCGCAGTTTGGCGATACCGGCACGCGATAAATATCCAAGCGAAATGCATAAAGAAGCGCGCGTCTTTGGCCAGGTGAGAATACCAAGTGCCGGCGAGAATAAGACGCGCCTCCTATTACAAAAATGAACCCGCTAACGCGTTAAATGTTATGAGACGCCTCATCGTTTTCCTCATCTCAATATTAATTAATCAAATTCTCTCACGGTATGCACCTGTCCCAGCCGAACTCGCGCGTCCTCTCCTCTCGCAGCCGCCGATTCTGGCCCGAGATACTCCACTACCAGCTCTCCGGGTGTAGCAGTTGCGAAACTAATTACACACGTCAAAGCGGCAACGATATGCCCCAGCCGCGAGAAAAAAGACTATCGATTTTTACTTTCCTTTTTTCCGTATATATAAGAGCTACGGCGCAACGTGCGTGCGAGGCCATCGGTTAACTCCAGCACGCAATTCGCTTGCCCTCTTGCATTGCGCACATCCGCACAAGCATTATTACAATTATGGATATTCTCGCGACATTGCTACTTTCGATTTTCAACTTCGATTTGCTCCTTTGATTACAATTTTCATGAATTTAATGAATCTTAAGCCCACGACTGTCCTATTACATACGATATTTTAATATTTAATACACCATTAGTTTATTTTTGAAGCCACTTATCAGGCAAATAAAAAATTCAGAGATAGCCGAAAGTTAAAGTTAATTAAAAACAGATTATACACATCGATATATTAGTTGATTGCTGTAAGGACTACATGATGGTTTGCTATCACGCTACTTGGAGATCTGCAATAGATCATTTATCCGTCGTTTGTCATATAGTTTGAAAAATTTTCACATACTCTCTCTCTCTCTCTCTCTCTCTCTCTCTCTCTCTCTCTGGATATCTTTCATATTGATAATTAACGAATTTCTTTTTAACCATTTATAAATTCCAAATGATTTTATAAATTGATTGCAAGGACATTATTTTGAAAAATATAGATTTCGTTTAATCATAAAATGACAAATTCAGAAATCATGATTTCATTCAACCAATATATCAAACAGAAATATCAATGACAAAAGAAATTTAACGATACCAATTGGTAACTTCATTAAATTCAAATATAGTAAGAACTACGAAAGATTTTCCAAATTTGTACGAAGATATTACAATTACCATTGCAGTTGCCCACATACGTAAGTTAATTTTAATATATTTTACTTATTTCAAAATATTGTTATCGAAAAACTAAAATATTTATGAAATAAAAAAATGTAATATGGCATTAATTTGTCATAACTTTAATCCTTTTGTAAGAACGTAAATTAAAAATCATAGAAAATCTTTAAGATTTTTTCAAATTATGCATTTGCTTTTTAAATATTATAATGTATATAGGATAATAAAATAATAAAGCTCCATAAGAATTTTTATAAAATTTAAGTTATGAGATTCGAATTCAATAGAAGATATAAAATTAAATTGTACATTTTTAATTTCCTTATATTTAAAAAAATAATACGTATATTGACTTTGTGTACTCGTTATCAATGAAATCTATATATGTAATAAAAAATCGATACTAAAAGAGCAAGTAATGCATAAATTTACTCTTGGTAATTGATATAAAAGAAGAGAATAAAAGATAAAAAAAAAAACAAAAAAAAAAGACCAGGGATACTATGTAAGCACTGTACTTTATTTTTTTTTTTTTTGTGAATGTTAAAACAGTATTATTCTTGACGTACTGAATGTAAAATATAAAAATTACGTTGGTCGATAGAATTTTAACAACAACCATTTCTAAATTATACATAAATATTATGATTAAATTCACTTATAAGCTCTAAGGTTTGTTAAATTTTTTTTTTTATTTATCGTTTGCAAAGTAATTAACAAGGAATACCACATTTTATGTATAAAATACCGCATAAATGAATATGACATTTCTACCTACACATTTTTCTTTTTTATGCATTTCACTGAATACAAGGTAGCATAGTTTTTATAATTCTTTAAAATAGAAATTCTGAGAATTAATATAATTATGTGCACCGGAGTGTAAGAATACTTATGTAAGAGTTATTATTATTCACTTTGAAAGGGCAATATTTTAAAAAATATAACGAGGACACGAGTAAGAAGAAAGAAAACGTTAAGGTGTGTGTGTTTAATAATTATGCAAGAGAATTATGATTAAAAAAAAAAGGGGGGGGGGTAAGGAAGAATAAAAATCGAGTAGTTGGAATGGTTTTACCAAGGCAACACATTTTCAAAGCCTATAATCATGTCACTTTGTTTATGAATCGCGTGCGCGAGATTCAATCATCAATTGAATTACCATCTGTACCAACTTATAGCATTATTACCGACATTAGTGGAGTGACGACGACGGCTGCCGAGAGATACTTGCACCCCTCGTTCTACTTTCACTACCTCCTCATCACCCTTTCTCCCATTTTTTCCTCTTCGTAGTCTCTACTACTAAGCTTTCATCTCCGTCAAGTTATTTCATTTCTTCTTCCCGACTCCTATTTTCCTTTTGTTTCGTTGGTTTTATCTCCGTCTCGACTGGTATTTCCGAGCTTTTATCTGTTACCACGACTGTCTCAAGTGAATTACTCGTTGATATAATGAACAAGTTTGTTAAATTTTATATAAGTAGTGGTGCAATTTACTGTTCTCCGATGGCATTTTAAACTTAAATGCAATATTATCGCCTGCAAATGCAAATGAACCTCCAAATTTCTTTAATATAATTAGTCAATATAATACAGTTTTACGTAATTATACGTAAGATTATGTCTTCGATAGTAGATTTTTAATAAATTGATGTATTTTATTTTCTGCAATATATATTAATGCAAATCAATATACATGCATTACCTTGTAACGTTGTACAATATTTCGAAAGAAATTAAATATTCAATATAAAATATGTAAAATTGAAAGAAATTTACAATATCCATAATAATAACAATATGTAAAATACCTTAAATTATATTTATTATAATTTTATCTAATAGTGTAATCCACATTAAATACTTACATCGATATAAATAATAGATTATATGCAATTATATATTCTTTGGCTTTAATATGAGTATATTATTCATAAAACATGTAATTAATTACTGGCTCGTATTATAATTATATATTCATATTCAAAAGCATATTGTATCAGCATAAATGTTAAAGAATATAATTAGTCTTTTGCGAGCAACCATTATAATTCTAAATCCAA